GCCCGGCCTCTTTCCTTTTTTTTGAAACAGTCTTGCTCTGTTGTCTGGGCTAGTGTGCCGTGGCGTCAGCCTAGCTCACAGCAACATCAAACTCCTGGGCTCAAGCGATCCTTCTGCCTCAGCCTCCCGAGTAGCTGGGACTAAAGGCATGCGCCACCACGCCTGGCTAATTTTTTCTATTTTTAGTAGAGACATGGTCTTGCTCTTGCTCAGGCTGGTCAGTTTTTCCTTCTTTTTAAAAAATTTTATTTTAAGTTGCAACATCAATACATGCTCATTAACAAACCAAATGACAAGAGATGCTTACAAGAGTCGACTGAGGATCTCCCTCATACCACTCCCACAGCATACCAATGTGAGCAGTTTGGTGTGCATCCTTGCACAGCTTTCTCAAATTTGTCTTGTTTCCTGATTGGTAAAATGGTCCTGCTGACCCGCCACACTGAGGGGTGGTGAATTATGTTAGGAAAGGCATGTCTGGGCTCTCAGAAATGAGGCCAGGAGGATGCTTCCTTCCACTCAAGTTGAGAGCATCCTTTTGTGGCTGCCTGCCAGTTTCTGTATGAGGCACTGGTGCCCCAGAAGCAAAGGAGCAGTTCCTGGCAGTTCTAGAAAAATGAGCACTAACCACACTGCGAACGGTGCTACTGTGGCACCTACCCCTAAGCTCCTTCGGAGCTGATCGTGTCCATTTCACAGGTGGGGAAACCAAGGCTCTGGGAGCTAGATCTAATTCCAGAGCTCTCTCCCCACCCCAGGTTTCCCAAGCTTCACAGCCTGGTGTGGGGCGGGAGTGACCCAAGTGAGTTCTGGCCTGGGTACCTGGTTATCCTTACACCCTTCTCTGCCCACAATGTAGGTGAAGTGCCCCAGGCTGGACAAGCACCCCCTTCCAGTGGCCCCGCTATTCACAGCCTCCCCAAGTCCCCAGACCGGCCCGGCTCCACCAGCCCCTTCGCTCCTTCTGCAGCTGATCTGCCCAGCATGCCTGAGCCAGCGCTGACCTCCCACGCAGACGTGACAGGTGAGGACCTTGGTGGCGCGAGAGGCACTGGCTGCGGGAGTGAGGCCCTGGGAGGGAATTGCCTCAGACCAGGTCCACGCAGAGCCTGCCTGCAGGGGTGGAAGGTCATGTTCAGGGGTCAGAAGGACAGGGAGGGTCTCCAGGGAGCGGAGGGCATGGCTGGGGGGAGGGGACAGCTGGAGAATCCATGTCCCACCTAAACGGAGCCACCAGCCTTCAGCTGCTTGTTACCCAGCAGGAAAGCAGGTCCAGTGGGGCCAAATCTTCTAAAACTGAAAATCAATTTTTACAGAGATACTGTGGTTTTAAAACATGGGTGAAATTTGTAAAAGTACAGACGGCCAAAGAAAGATGTCTTGGAGTCAGATGTAGCCTCGGGCCCTTATCTTGTCACTCCCGTCTTGGCAGACTCAGCCATTGTGGGCTGTGCCCTCTGGACGCTCTGAGCACCGAATGGCCCAGAGGGAGGGAAGTCCCCGGGGGTGCCCCTCACCCTAACTCTGACACCAGCTTCTCCATCTCCAGAGAGTGAAATGTCCCCCACCCAATGCCAGGCAGACGAGGAGGTCTCCAGCGAGCTTCCCAAATGGCCTGGTGAGTGACGCAGGGTCCCTCTGCCCCGGGTGCTGGAGAGGGAAGCCCAAATCTGGCTTCGCTTCACTCACTGGCTCAACGGTTATTCAATCCGCTGTCTGTTGGCTCACACATTCGTTCCTTCATTCACTTATTTGATCACGCCATCATTTCGGCGTTTGTTCCGCCACTCACTCATGCAATATCTATCACGAACGTGCCCCTTGATAAGCTCGCGCTGGGTGTCGACAGCTCATTGGTGAGGCTGAGAGTGAACGAGGGGCGAGTGGATGAGGATGGGGGTGATGGGAGGTGGGAGTGAACCCGTGAATAAGAGAATGGCTAAATTACTAAACGCTTACTTCCACGTACTCGTCTAAGCGCATTAGATATGTTAAATCATCAGAGTCTCAAACAACGCTAATGTATCCCCATTTCACAGATGAGAATACTGAGGCACAGTGCAGTATATAACATGCTCAAGATTACACTGACAAGTGGCAGAGCTAGGATTTGAACCTAGACACAAGGGCTCCACTGTCCTAACTCTTAACACCCACCTCCTGTGGTCCCCCCGTAGTGAGTGAGGGAGGGACCAAATGAAGAAGCAGGTTGGTGAGGACAGGAGGGAATGAGATGAGGCATAAAAGCAGTGCACAGAGACACGGGCGAGAAGACGAGTGAACGAATGGGGTGGCAAAAAATGACTCAGCGAATGAGCCACATGAGGCATTCGATGAAGACTGTGCAGTGAGTGGGTGACGCGGTGAGGGTGGCAGTGTTGGCCTCACGGTGGCCGGCCTGCCTCTTACGTCCCCCACCGACACGCCCCTTGGCCTTTGCAGAGCCGGTGGAGCGGTTCTGTCGCTTGCTGCGGGAGGAGTACCGGGCGGAGCCCGCGGGCCCCGACGGCATCCTGGTTCAGGTGGACCTCGTGAGGGCCGGGCTGGAGAGGACCAGCAACAAGAGCCAGGAGTGGGAGCTGGCCACCCCGGACTGGGCGGAGCGGCAGCTGGCCCAGGGGGGCCTGGCCGAGGTGCTGCTGGCGGCCAGGGAGCGGCGGCGGCCGCGGGAAACGCGCGTGGTTGCCGTGCTGGGCAAGGCGGGGCAGGGGAAGAGCTGCTGGGCTCGCGCCGTGAGCAGGGCCTGGGCCCGCGGGCAGCTCCCGCAGTACGACTTCGTCTTCCACGTCCCCTGCCACTCTTTGGACCGTCCGGGGGATGCCTGCTGCCTGCGGGACCTGCTCTTCTCCCTGGGCCCGCAGCCACTCGAGGCGGACGACGAGGTCCTCAGCTACATCTTGAGAAGGCCCGACCGCGTCCTGCTCATCCTGGACGCCTTCGAGGAGCTCGAGGCCCAAGAGGGCTTTCTGCACAGCGCGTGCGGCCCGGCGTCCGCAGAGCCCCGCTCCCTCCGGGGGCTGCTGGCCGGCCTCTTCCAGCGGAAGCTGCTGCGGGGCTGCACCCTGCTCCTGACGGCCCGGCCCCGCGGCCGCCTGGCCCAGAGCCTGAGCAAGGCCGACGCCCTGTTCGAGATGGCCGGCTTCTCCAGCGAGCAGGCCCGGGCCTACGTGTCGCGTTACTTTGAGTGCTCGGGGGCGAGCGAGCACCGAGACAGAGCCCTGGCGCTCCTCCGGGACCAGCCGTTTCTCCTCAGTCACGGCCACAGCCCTGCTGTGTGCCGGGCAGTGTGCCAGCTCTCGGAGGCCCTGCTGGAGCTGGGGGAGGGGGCCAGGCTGCCCGCCACACTCACGGGCCTCTACGTGGGCCTGCTGGGCCCTGCAGTCCGCGACGGCCCCCCGGGAGCCCTGGCGGGGCTGGCCAAGCTGGCCTGGGAGCTGGGCCGCAGGCGCCAAGGCACCCTGCAGGAGGGCCAGTTCCCCTCCGCGGAGGTGAGGACCTGGGCTGTGGCCAAGGGCTTCGTGCGGCCCGCCCCGGGGGCCGCAGTGGCCGAGCTGGCCTTCTCCAGCTTCCTCCTGCAGTGCTTCCTGGGGGCCGTGTGGCTGGCCCTGAGCAGCGAAATCAAGAACAAGGAGCTGCCGCAGTATCTGGCACTGACGCCGCGGAAGAAGAGGCCCTATGACAACTGGCTGGAGGGCGTGCCGCGCTTCCTGGCCGGGCTCATCTTCCAGCCTCGCACGCGCTGCCTGGGAGCCCTGGTCGGGCCGGCGGAGGCCGCCTTGGTGGACCGGAAGCGGAAGGTGCTCACCAGGTACCTGAAGCAGCTGCAGCCCGGGACGCTGCGGGCCAGGCGGCTGCTGGAACTGCTGCACTGCGCCCACGAGGCCGAGGAGGCTGGGATCTGGCAGCACGTGGTGCAGGAGCTCCCCGCCCGCCTGTCCTTCCTGGGCACCCGGCTCACGCCTCCCGATGCACATGTGCTGGGCAGGGCCTTGGAGGCGGCGGGCCGAGACTTCTCCCTGGACCTTCGCAGCACTGGCATTGACCCCTCTGGACTGGGGAACCTCGTGGGACTCAGCTGTGTCACCCGTTTCAGGTGGGGGCAGGGGACGGGGAAGAGGGGCTCCCTTGTGCTGGGCACCGACTGCGGTCTTGCTGCTGCGCCTAGTACTTGCTCTGTGGGGTCCCATTTTGTGTGCACGGCAGCCAGGTGAGGCAGAATGGATCCACCCTATGTTCAAGATGACGATGCTGAGGCTCAGAGAGGGGCAGCTGCTTGCCCAAAGCCACGCAGCAGTGAGGGGCAGAATTGTTCTTCCAACCAATGTTTGAAGGCCCACCATGTGCCAGGCACTGGGCCATACCTAGAATCCAAGACTGACCTGGGTTCAAATTTGTTCTCTGGGTTCTTTGTTCAGTGGATGAACACTGATCAAGGCACTGTGTTCTCTGGCTTAGATTAAAGCCATGGCCTCCCCTTGGCCTCCCTGCCTCCATTCTCTCCATTTTATGTCCAGCCACCAGTGCAATCTTCCCAGAACTTAAATCTGATCATATAACATCCCTGCTGACAACCCTTCAGGGGCACTCCACCGTCCTCAGGATGGAGTCTAAATTCCTTCATTTGGTGGATTTAAGTCTTTCTTCAGTCTGCTTGAGCACTTCAGCTTAACCTTCAGAGAATTGCTCCCACATTCCCCCTAAACATACTTTACCCAAGCCATAAAGTCCTTACAATTGTGCCAAGAATTTAGCACTGAGCTTCCTGGTAGCCAAAGCAAAAAGGGAAACAAAACCACTGTGAGAATTGCCAGAAAGGAGGACTCCATAAGGGCTGGAGTGGTCATGGAAGGCTTTCTGGAGGAGGTTAAGCTAAGAAAGGAAAGTATTTGAATAGGTAGGAGGTCCCTTCATGGAGCTGCCCCTCCATTATGGTCTAGCCCGGGCACCATGCCTGGGTCTGAGGCCTTCCCTCCACAGGGCTGCCTTGAGCGACACGGTGGGGCTGTGGGAGTCCCTACGGCAGCGTGGGGAGACCAAGCTGCTCCAGGCGGCGGAGGAGAAGTTCACCATCGAGCCTTTCAAAGCCAAGTCCCCGAAGGACGTGGAAGACCTGGGCAACCTCGTGCAGACCCAGAGGTGAGGGGGAGAGGGGATGGGAGACGGTCCAGGCCATGGTGTTGAGGACACGTAGGACCCATCATCAAGATTGTCATGGGCATTTCCAGTGCCTTGTCTCCTTTGGGACACCCCGTGTCCTCTTTCTGGACGACGGCTCCCCCGAATATCTCACTGCAGTCGCCGCTCGGGCAAAGCCTGCTGGGTTGAGCGCTTTGCTCCATCCAAAACTTGGCGTTGTATGCCCAGTTCTTCTTCAGCTAGAGCCAAGCAGAAACTCTCCCTTCTGGGAGTTAACAAGGATGCCTTGTGCATCTAGAAGCAGAAGTGACACCCGCTGCCACCCTTTGAGGCATTTAGGACCAGTATCATTCCCATTTTATAGATGGCAGAGATAAGAGCCAGAGGGCAGAGGACGCTTGGCCACAGAACGAGTTAACTGTCACTCCTTCCTTCATCACACACTGTTACGTGCTGTCTGGGGTGGGTGCTGATAAGTGCCTACTCTGAGGCTCTTTTCCATGAAACACACAGTCCTGAGATTTTTCTTTTCAATAGAGCACGACAATAGCCCCAAGGCAGGCAATCCTCCCAGGGCGTTTTGGGGACTGGGCGGCCACCATGGGACCCACGGGTCAGGGCTCAGTGACAGAAGAGCTTACCCCCCGCACCAACATTGCCTGTTCTCTCCAGGACGAGAAGTTCCTCAGAAGACGCAGCCGGGGAGCTCCCCGCTGTCCGGGACCTAAAGAAACTGGAGTTTGCGTAAGCCAAGGGGGAGATTGTCTCGGGTCTCCGCAAGGTTTCTTCTCCTGCGTTCGCTGGGCTTGTGCCGCCGGAGTAGAGATGGGTGTCCAGGGCCGTTCTCACCCTCTCCCCCACCGCTTTGGAAACCAGCACTGGAATGTGGCAGTCTGGGCAAGGGCGGAGATGCCCAGATTCCAGGCTCACAGGGCCGTTTGCTGGTTAACGCGCCCGTTCCCGCCGCCGGCAGGCTTGTTGAGCATCTACTGAATGACCGAGGCTGCTGTCCTCAGTGAGCTTGCAGTCTAGTCAGCACCCATGGGGAAGGGCCCAGGGGGACTTCCTGGAGGAGGTGCTACCTGCATGGAAGCTTGACCACGGAGAAGGAATGAGCCAAGTGGGGAGAAGGGAGGGAGAAAGGCCTTCTAGGAATTGTAATTCGGCCAGGGCTAGAAGGGCCAGTGTGTCTCCAGCCTGTGACCTTCCACAGGAGGATGCTGCTGTGACCACCGCTTGGGTCCTTTTCCCTGCTGTGGTTGGGGACTGCACATACCCCTTGTGCGGAGCTTGCTTATGTCCATGACCAAGGGATGGGCTCCCCAGGGGAAGCAGCCAGCCCTCCCTAGCCAACGCCACTGATAAAGCCCAGGGGCCTGTCCCGCCTCCAGGCACTGGTTCTTCGCCCGGCCACACAGCAGAATCACTGGCGATTCCGATCATTCCAGAGCTGAGACCCTCGCCCAACCCAGTGACTCAGCCTGGGGAGTCTTCCCCCGGTTTGCAGGATTCCCGAAAGCTGTGCAGTTAGGGTGAACAAGCACCCCGGCTCGCCTGGGACTGGTTTTAGCCCTGAAACTCTTGTATCCCAAGAAACCCCTCAGTCCCAGGCAAACCAGGACAGTTGGTCACCCTATGCGAGGCCAGGGCCGGGAGCCGGCATCTTAGGTGGTGCTGCCAGGGTGACAGCAACGGAGACCTCAGTGGGCTCTAGAGAGCCCAGTTGTGCCTGGGTCGCCCCGGAAGCGCAGCCCGCCGCACACGGGCCCTGGAGTGCGGTCATTGTTGTCACGTACTTAGAGCTGTCTGTCAGGACATAGCTTGTCAGTGTGCAAAACACCTTCACCTCTGTCATCTCAGCTGATCCTCCTCTGGGGCTATTACCGTCACCTCCCCGTTGTACACATGGCAACACCGAGGCCCAGGGAGTTTACGTTGTTTGTCCAAAATCGTAAAAGTCAGGTCAGCCTGGCTCCAAGCTCCAACCCACGAAAAAGCTAATTTAGTGTTTGGTTCTTGTCAAAGGCCTAAGATCATCTCATGATTACGAAGGCATTATTAAGCACCTAGTGTATTTAGTGCATTTTACACATCATCTCATTACTCTCAAGAGCTACCGTGGGAGACAGACATGATCTTCCCCATTTTACAGATGAGGAAACTAAGGCCCGGCCAGGTTAAGTGACTTGCCTGTGGCCCCCCGCGCTGATCACCCACACACTTCCCTCATGCCCCGGAAAAAGCCAAGCGTCTCTTGTTTTGAACAGAGACAAAGGGCCAAATTTGTGCGGAGGTAAAAATGTCACTGAAAAGAGGAAATGTATGAAAACAATCGCCAAGGGCCCTTTCTGGCCTTGAATTATTTTCAGCTTAAAAAGCCCCTAGTGCGAGGTCGGAACTGTGCTCTGGCGAGCAGTGACAATGGGGTAGAACAGCCTAGGGCCGTCACCAGCCACCTGGAGGCCGGAAGCCCCGAGAAAGTTCTGAGGAAGGAAGGAAGGAAAAGACTATTTCGGGCATCTGTTCTGGCACCCTATAGCCCTCAGCTGCCCCTGGGCCCCTCGAAACCCTGCAGGGACCCCACTCCTACAGCACCCCCTGTTCACCCTGAACTCTGCGTTGCTCACTCCGTCTCCAGCCCCGTGGGCCTCCTCGCTGTTTTTCAACCTCCCTGGGCAAGGTCCTGCCTCTGGGCCTTTGCACTGGCTGTGCCCTGTGCCTAGAATGCTCTTCCCCAGACATCTGCACGGCCCACGCCCGCACCTCCCGTGGTCTTTCTCAGTAAGGCCTTTTCTGACACTCCTATTTAAAAACGAAATCTCGCCCCCTCGCCACTGTACTTTTTCTGCGTGACTCACTGACTCGAACACCAGATCTCTTCCCCACTGGCACGTCAGCTCTGCCACGTCAGGGGTTTTGTCTGTTTCGTGCGTGGCTCTCCCCTGGGCCTGGCATGGTAGGCGAGGGGTAAATACGTGAGGATGAATTTCTTCATCCTTCCGACAACCTTACAAGGTCGGGGCTGCCGAGACCCAGAGGCGAAGGCGTCTGCCGAGGCCCTTAGCGCGGGAGCTGCGCAGGAGACCCCGGAGTCCAGCTCCGACCCTGTGGCCTTTTACTGCGGCCAGTGGTTCCCGGACTTTGGGATTTCGGAGACCAAGAACGTTTCAGAATGAATTCGAGTGACCACGCGGTTACCATCTTTTAATTTTTATCAAGTATATTTATTCAAACAAACAAATGACAACATGGTAACCACTGCTGGCCCTAAACTTTTATTAAAAAATGATCATTTTAGGCCTGGCGCGGTGGCTCACGCCTGTAATCCTAGCACTCTGGGAGGCCGAGGCGGGCGGATTGTTTGAGCTCAGGAGTTCGAGACCAGCCTGAGCAAGAGCGAGACCCCGTCTCTACTAAAAATAGAAAGAAATTAATCGGACAACTAAAAATATATATAGAATAATTAGCCAGGCATGGTGGCGCATGCCTGTAGTCCCAGCTACTTGGGAGGCTGAGGCAGGAGGATCACTTGAACCCAGGAGTTTGAGGTTGCTGTGAGCTAGGCTGACGCCACGGCACTCTAGACTGGACAAAAGAGTGAGACTCTGTCACAAAAAAAAAAAAAAAAAAATCATTTTAATATCAAAAAAGTTCAAAAGACAATTTTTAGAATAAAAGACAGGTCTTTACATTGAATACATTTAACCACATTATTGAAACAAAACAAAACAGCCCTTCATTGTCCTTATTTCTCTCATTTCCTCAAAGTCTGGTCTGTGTGACCTTGTGTAAGCTATTTAACCGTTCCGTGCCTTGGTTTCCCCATATGTAAAATGGGGGTAAGAAGAGCCCTTAGCTCAGAGTTGTGAGGATTAAATGAGATCTAAGCTGATTGAAGGACCCTGCATGTGCCTGACGTGCAAGTGCTCCGCGAAGGGCTCTCTTTGCTATTCACATGCGAAGACAAGTAAGCCGTCCGGTTTGCCACTTGCGGTGGTCCTCAGCTGGCATGCAGGGGCCGCTTCACCAGGCCGGGGCTGGGCAAAGGTGCGTGTGGATGTGGGCAGGAGAGCCGGCTCCTGCTTAGAGACCAGAGGCCCAGCTGGCCTCCTGGGGAGAGGCTTTGTGAAATCTGCCCCAAGCAAAAGGGACTGGGGTCCCGCAGGGGAGGGTTGGGGCGAGGTGAGAGGCGAAAGGCGGGGAAGGGGGGACTCAGATAGGCCTGGCTTCTGTGCCCGTCTCTGCCCCCCTGGGGCCGAATCGAGGGCTGCGACTGTTCTGGAGTCTTACCCTGCTCTTCGCCTCCTAGGTTGGGCCCCACCGCAGGCCCCCAGGCCTTCCCCAAACTGGTGAGGATCCTCGCGGCCTTCTCCTCCCTCCAGCACCTGGAGTGAGTATGGCCCTGGCGCCCGTCCCCTCCACCTCTGGGTTCTGACAACCCCAGCCCTGCCCTAGGCACGTGCAAAGAGCAGAGCCCTCTCTCTCCCTCGCTCCCCGCTCTGCTTCCTCTGCGTGGCTGGAGAGTAACCGGATGACTCCGCTGCGGGGAAGGGACGGCAGATGGGGATCCCCAATAACTAAAAACGTTTGGGATCCTTTCGTGACCTTTGAAACTCTTTGCCCTCACAGCCTCATTTGCTGCTGGGGAGGCGGGAGCGGGGTGCGAGGGGGAGGCCCGATCCCACTTCTCAGTGCGGGTTCCAAGAGGTTAAGGAAGCTGCCTAAGCTGGCGGGGGAGCCCTGAGAAGCAAACCAGGCATTGCCGGCCAACGGGTACCCTCCGGTGACAAGGTCCTGGTCGCCAGGGCTCCGGAGTGGGCTGTCTGCCTGTGCTGTATCCAGGGCTGCGGGGTGGGAGGGGCGAGGTGGGAGTGGCCTCCCAGGCACTGGCTGACGGTCTCCATCTGATTCCACCCGCAGCCTGGACGCGCTGAGCGAGAACAAGATTGGGGACGAGGGCGTCGCGCAGCTCTCCGCCACCTTCCCTCAGCTGAAGGCCCTGGAAACCCTCAAGTGAGTGGGCTGGGCCTGCTCTTCCCTCCGCATCTGTCCCCCAAAGGCCGGCTGGCTTTTGTATTCTTCCATTCACTCGTCCGTTGAATCAGCCATTCATCCTTCCACTGAGTCATTCATTCATTCACTCATTCATTCATTCATCCAACCACTCACTCAGTCATTCCTTTATTTAATCATCCACTCAGCCGATCACTTACTAATTTAATCAACAAATATTTAAGGAGCACCTGCTATGTGCGGGCACCATCCTAGGCCCCGGAGACCCAGCTTTAAACAAAACAAACAAATCTCCTGCCCTCAGGGATCTTAACTTCTAGTGAGGAGGCACAGTAACCAATCAAACAAATAAACAAGCCTATAATTGTAAAGTATACAGTAATAAAAATAAAATACAGTGACAGAAAATTATACCGGGGGTGAAAAAAAGAGAGGTAGGTTAGGATTTATCAGTTAAACATTTTTATCAGAACAGTAAGATTTTTTTTAATTCTTGGCTTTGGGAAGCTGGAGATGGATAAGATGTTTTACTGAACCTGGAGGGTGTCAAATCTGAGATTTCACCAGAATTCATTTAGCAACTTCCTTAACAGTAGGACTCTGAGACTTCTCCAGTAATTTCTAGTGTTCTAGGAGACAATGCAAGGAGCTAGATTCCCCCTTAGTCCTGCCTCCCTTCTCCTCTTTCCCACGTGTTCTTTCCACCCCCAAGTATTTACTGAGCACCTACTATGTGCTTGGCACAGCTCTAGGCACAGGGATACAGTAAAGAATGGAGCAGACACACCCTCTCTCCTTGAGGAGCCCACAGCCTGGCGGAAAGGACAGACCTTAAATAAATAACACAAACACTTAATTATAGTGCTGAAAAGTGGTCCGGGGGGAAAAGAGGGAATGCTATAAAATCCATAAAGCATCCTCACTCCCATCATCCCACGTGGCCACAGGATGGAACAGTATCCTTTTGTTTATTTAGAGACAGTGTAAGTCTGCCGACAGTGCCATTCACCATTTATCACCCAGGACTCTCCCCGAGGTCGATCGTCACGTGTTTGTTGCTGTGGCCCACCCTGTGGGGATGGAGAGCTTTCCCGCTCTGCCTGGGCCGGGTGGATGGATGGGTGGATGGATGGATGCTGGTCGGGGACGGGGCAGACAGGCGTGGTCCTGAGCCCTCCCCCTGCTGTGTCCTGCAGCCTGTCCCAGAACAGCATCACCGATGTGGGTGCCTGCAAGCTCGCCGAGGCCCTGCCTTCGCTTGCTGCGTCCCTGCTCAGGCTGAGGTGAGTGGGGCCCCGGTCACGGTCACGGGTCAGGTACAGAGCTGGCTGGCTGGGGGAGGGCAGGGAGCAGCCTCGTGCTGGCTGTGGGGTAGACACGGGACCCTAGAAGCAATCACCCCGGCCCTGAACAAGAGCATTAGCAGGACCCAGGGAAGGAACTCTGGGTGAGTGGCTTATTCATTCTTAGCTTCTGTTTGCTCATCTGGAAAACGAGAACCATCCCAGTGGCCTATGGGAGGTGCTTGGCACAATGCTGGCCCCTGGTGGACAACACATTTTGGTACTCTTCCTCCAGGGAAAGGCAAGACCAAGCTTTTTCCCAGTCCGGGGTGGCCGCTTCTGGAAGGCTGACCACACACCGGCCGCCTTGGCTGGCCTTGTTCTCGCACACCAGTCAGTGCTTACACTGCCACCTTCTGCTGGGCCTTGGCATAGCACCTCTCGCTTTTGAGTTTTTCTAGCCCGACCCTGGTGTGGAACCAGAGACTGTGGAGCACTGACCTGGGACCAGAGCCCCAGTCGCTCAACTCAGAATCACCAGCTGTCCTCACTCTCTGGGCGGGGAGGCACTGCCCTCCTTTATGCCAGCCCTCTTCACAGCCAGTAAGATTCCCAGGAAAGGTGGCATCTTGCCCATCTCTGTTGATGCATCAATTCATGTATCCTTTCAGCCACGACCACCGTGTGCAGCTGTGCAGGTTGTGTACTGTGCAATTGGTAGTCTATGTGATTGGTGACGCTCCCTCCCCGAGAGCTGCGCAAGGGATCCAATATTCGCTAACACAAACCGTGGGCCAGAACTTGTATTGGGACCAGAGATACAGCTACGAGCAAGATAGATATGGTTCTTGCTTTCAAGTTTCTTGAATAAGTGAACACATGCATAAATAAAACATTATAAAATAGTAGTTCATGCCGAGAAGTAAACTAACAAGGCCCAGGAGAGTACGACGGACAGTATCAAATCCAAGAGAGATCAGGGCATCTCTGGGGAGGTGATTCCTCTGTGGGAAGCTCTAGGGGGAAAGCGCTCTAGGAGGAGGGAACAGCAGGTGCAAAGGCTCTGAGCAGGGAGAGAGGTTGGGTTTCTGAGGGTCAAAAGGGCCACTGTGGCTGTCTGTAGTGAATGGGGACAGGGAGGGAGAGGTCAGCAGGTCTAGATCACACAGGGAGGCATCTGTAGTTTGTTCAGTGTGAATGGAGAAGCAGGTGGGGCATGTGGAGGTGAGACTTGATTTGATTTACACTCTAAGAAATGGCGTATTTCGTGGGATCCAAGATGCCACTCACTGTAAGACGCCAGGAAAAGGACAAAATGCTGCCGGTAAACACGCTATTGGTTATAAGACACATCCTGATCTCAGTGATATTCAAATGACGACGCGTGTGTCTTGGCATCGGTGAAATACGGTCAGAGCACTCTGCCTGCGGCGGGGAGGAAGGGCCTCCTGGGTCAGGAGACCTGTCCCAGGAAGAGATTGTCAAGCCCCACCTGGTTTCTGCCCTGATGCCAGCCGGCCTGTGATATCCGGGGGTGCCAGGGTTTAGCAGGAATCCACTTAGCAGCGGCTGAGACCTGCTGCCTTCACAGCAGCCCTGCAGTGCGGCTCCAAGGCTGAGTCATGGCAAAGTCATGGCCCTGAAATCAGAGCCGCAGCGGCATCTGGCCCGGGGAGGGGATGCTTGGTAATGAGTGTGCCCGTAAGTCGGCGCCGATGCCAGTCGTCTTGCTCTGCCCACCGCTACTGATGGTGGCTGTGAGTACAGCACACAGGGACTCTGGGTTTTTCTCTTCCTATCCCCAGTGCTGTCACACCCTCTGTGGTAACGCACATAACCCTCACGAATGCTTCTGTGAGGTAGTCATAGCCAGAGGTAACACAATTCATTCCAGGTGCCAGGGTGCACTTTGAGTATCTTACCAGCATTAACTCATTTACTCCTCCTTACAATTCCTTGATTGTGCCCATTTTACAGACGAGCCAACTGAGTCTCAGAGAAGTCGAGTACCTTTCCCAGGATCACACAGGCAGTAAGAGGCATAGGTGGGATTTGAACTTGGGAAGTCGTTCTCCCCAGGGTTTCCACACTGTCAGCCAGGATAGGACATCCTTTTAGTCCTACTGCTTCCCCTGGACTCACCGTGTGACCACAGAGAAGCAGCCTCAAGTCTCTGGGCCTCGGTTTGCCCCTCTGTAAAATGGGGCAGTGAGCCCAGTGGGTGTGAATCCCGCTGGGCCCTGACCCCCCCAGTAACCCCAAGCCCTTCCCCTGGCTTCTGTCTCTGGCAGCTTGTACAATAACTGCATCTGCGATGCGGGGGCCGAGAGCCTGGCTCGGGCGCTTCCGGACATGGTGTCCCTCCGGGTGATGGAGTGAGTGTGGGGTCTGGGCGCTGGGAGGCTGGGCCCAGGGCTGGCAGAGACTGGGGGTCTCCCCCGGCATCGCGGGAGGGGCTGGGTGTGCTGGAGGCCTTGGTGTGGCGTTGGGTGGTCCCGAGGGCCAGTCCCCAGGACGGGTTTCTCTCCTTAGTGTCCAGTACAACAAGTTCACGGCCGCCGGGGCCCAGCAGCTCGCCGCCAGCCTGCGGAAGTGTCCTCACGTGGAGACGCTGGCGTAAGTCTCGGCAGCGCTAGGGGGCGGAGACGCCCCAGGTGTCCAGGCACGTGGTTCAGCCCGTGAGCCCGGAGCTCAAATCCCGCTCTGCCCCTCACCAGCCTGAGACCTTAGGCAAGCGCGAACGTCACCCTTCCGGGCTCACTTTCGTTATCTATAGAATGGGGATATAATAATGTACACCCCAAGAGGTTTCATGAGGTTTAAATGGATCAAGGGCATATAAAGCTCTTAGAACAGAAAATTGCTCAGTAAATGCTATATTAGGGCGAACCACATGAAATTGCCTACATCTAGCCCTTTTAGACCTGTACACCTGGCAATTTCATATGGCTCAAACTCATTTTGTATTAAGTCACTGTGATGCCTACTGTCCAGCAGTGATACTTTATACGCTTTCAAAGCACTTTCATCTGCATAATCACTTATGTCTTCTAAGATGGATGGGGTGGGTCTTATAGGACCCATTTTACAGATGGGGCAAATAAAGCACAGAGCAGTTAACTAAGCTTTTTGAGGTCACACAGCAAGTCAGCAGCAGAACCAGAAAGGGGTATCCGGGCTCCTGGGCCTCTGCCTTCCCCAGGAACCCACACCGGTCTGCACCCTGCCAGGTGGGAAGTCCCCAAGGTTCTAGGCTGGGTGGGAGGAGGGATTTGGGGGCAGCTTTAATTGGGGCTTCAGGCCACCTCTCTCCTCTAACCTGGGCTTTTGTGTCCCATCCCCCCTTGCAGGATGTGGACACCCACCATCCCATTTGGTGTCCAGGAGCACCTGAAACAGCTGGACTCACGAATCAGCCTGAGATGATCCCAGCTGTGCTCTGGACAAGGTAACCAGTGGGCTCTGGAGGGGAGAACCACTGGAGACTGTCCCTGGGAAGGCAGTATCCATAGAGAAGGGGTGCCAGGTGGGCTGGGCGACCACCTCTGGACGCAGGCATCATCTGGGCCTTCCCCCTGTCTGCACACAGGGCTAGTGGAGATGTCCTCCAGGGTTTGGGGACTTGGTCCCTAAGGGTCCTCTCTGTGGTCAGGCTTAGCGACCAGGGGAAGGACCAGGTAGGCTGGCCATCCACGTCCTTAGCTTTGGGAAGATCTTCCTTCGGGAACTTCCAAGCCCTTCTTGCTGCTGTTCAGCCTGTTGACTACCCCGACGGCTCTGGATTCATCTGTCACTATGAAGATGACTGTCCCCTAGCCCTGTGTGCCCCACACTGTGCTGTCCATCACCCTCTGACACCCCCCAGTCCACTGTCCCTCCCATCCTCCACCTTGATAGGTGTCTAGGCCCCTCCTAAGCGTCCTGGCTCACCTCCCTCTCTAACTCCTCCCCCGCAGCACATTCTCCGAAGACACTGACCGTGCTGGACCTTGAACTGGGTACTTGTGGACACAGCTCTCCCCTGGGGCGTAGCCCGTGAGCGTCAGCACCCCGACACCCAGTGCCTGCACGTTCAGGGCTGGCCCCGCCCGCTGCAGAGCAAACCGTGTCTTGCTGTGCTGACAGACACCGGCCCGCTCCAGGCCTCCTCAGGGCCCAGACCGGTGGGCGCCTGGTGGCAGCTGCGTCCACCCGGGAGCCCTGAGGCCTCCCCTGCAGGACACTCCGGACAGCCACGGCCAGTCCAGAGTGAGGAGATGAGGCAGCCACGCTTGGGCCTGCCAGGCCCCTGCCAGCCTGCTGAAGAGCACTTCTGCATGCTGCTGTCCCACCAGACTCCCGGACAGGGCACTCTTAGCGCGGGGCAGACACTGGTGGGCAACCCCCGGCCTGCTAATTCCCCAGACCACGACGGGCTGGGGTACCGTGGCAGCTGCTTGCGTCTGCGGGACTCGCTGTGCACTGACTTTGTTGGCCAAGGCCAAAGCCGGGCCTGGCCAGGTGCCCGGGACCTTAGCAGAGCAACAGGTAATGGTACACTAATGGATGGGGCAGGGGACAGACAGGAGCCACAGCTTCGCTTCCTGTGTCTTTTTTCACTACATTATAAATGTCTCATTAACCTCACGGCAGGTCCAGGGTTTCAGTTTATACCATGATTACCATGTTGGGGTACCCACTGTTCTGTCTAAATGTGTAAAAACCACCCCCAAACATAGTGCCTTAAAATAACACACACTTCTGCTCACACACCTGTCATTTGGGCAGGGCTTGGTGGGGACGGCTCATCTCTGTCCCACTCAGTGTCGGCTGCGGCAGCTCGAGGGCCAGACTTGGATCATCCGAAGACTCGCTCACCTACACGTCTGGCACGGGATGCTGGCTGTCGGCTGGGGGCCTCAGTCCCCTAAGGAACAGTTGGCTGGGGACCTCTCCACGAGGGTGGCTTGGGCTTCCTCATGGCACGGTGGCTGGGTGGAAGGGTGATCACCCAGAAAGAGAGAGACAGAGAGGGAGAGGAAAGGAGAGGAAAAGGGAGGGGCGGGGAGAGAGACCAAGAGAGAAGTAGAACCCTCTTCATGACCTGGCCTTAGAAGTCACACGGTACCACTTCTGCCGTATTCTATTGGCCAGTGTGACGGGCCCCCATCACCACACAGGTGTGCACGCACACACACGCACACAGCAGAGTCCGCTTGGCCCAAGACCTGTCTTTTCAGAAAGGATTTTCTCTGTGACTTCCTAAGATTCGGCGGAAAATTCATTACCTGGGAGTCAGAAAGGTTTAAGCGCCGTGGGCTATGCCAAGGGGATTGTTTTCTTTTGCCTCTGACACACGGCTCTGTCCTGGGAGCCACTTCTTAGCCACGCTGGAGCCCTGCCCAGGCTGCAGTGAGCCCGAAAGGGACTTGGCAGCTCTGCTTTCTACCAGCCAGCTGCCAGCTGGGCTGTGGGTCTCCACAGGGGCGTGGCCTGCTCAGCCAGAGGCCCCAGCAAGAGGCGCCTTGGCTTTCGCCGGCTAGCAGCGGGAGTGGCTTGTCAGCTCTGGCATGCCAGCCCTAATGCCCACAGGATCAGCCCGGTTCCCGAACCCTGCCCCTTTTCCCAGCAAGTGAGAGTTGAGAGTTGGGAGGGGCCGAAGGATTCAGAACCAGCTGCCCATTCGGCCGGCGCCTTCTGCCTTGGCCCGGCTGCAAAGGGCATCAGGTGTTGCCACCCGGGTTCTGTTGTAAATCACTTGGGAATCACCTCTCTGGGTGTCCCTGCATTCACAGACTGCGGAGTCCACGGGACTCCCATTTGTGTGGCCACAGGGGTGAGCACCTGGCCACTCTCTGATGCAGGCATCTCCAGGCGGGTACCCTGCTTTCGGTCTGTTTGGAGTTGATGAAATGAGGCTAGAGGCTACAGTGATTTTTATTTTAACTTTTTTTTTTGAGACAGTCTCGCTCAGTCGCCCCTGGTAGAGTGCAGTGGTGTCATCGTAACTCAACTGCAACCTCAAACTCCCGGGCTCAAGCGATCCTCTTGCCTCAGCCTCCCAAGTAGCTGGAACTACAAGCACATGCCACAATGCCCAATTTTTTTATTTTTTAAATTTTTTTTCTATTTCTAGTAGAGCTAGGGTCTCATTCTTGCTCAGGCTGGTCTAGAAGTCCCAAAATCAAGTGATCCTCCCGCCTCGGCCTCCCAGAGTGCTAGGATTACAGGTGTGAGCCACTGGGCCTGGCCAATAATGATTTTTTTAGTGACAACTACCACTTATTTAATGAGTCGATACATGTGAGGCACTTATCACGGTGCAAGGGAGCTGCTAAGTGCTGAATAAATAGTAGCAATTATGATCACCACCTGCCAGGCACCACGCGAAGCTCCTCCTGCCCGAGAGGAATGAGCATCTAGAGTCAGCGGCACAGGCTCTAGGGCAGGTTGCCTATGCTCAGTGGCTAGCTCACCACTTAACTTATGTAGTTACTTCTCTGTGCCTCAGTCTCCTCGTCTGTAAATTGGGCACAAGCACAGTACCTTCTTCATAGGGTTATGTGAAGATTCAATGAGCCAATACATTGAGAAAAAGTGCCTGGCACAGAGATCCATACATGTTACCTGCATTATTACATATGTACATGTGTTTCATTCTTGCCTCTGCCTGGAATGTTCTTCCCAGCACTTCACACGGCCGACTTCTTTTCATCCTTCAAGACTCAGTGTAGAGGACAGCTCCCCGTGAAGGTCTACCTGACCACCCGACTAAACATAGACACCCCTCTGCCCCCACTCTCCAACCCCTCACTATTTTATCTTTTTCACACTTACTTAAGCATTGTCTGCTCTTGTCCTAGGATGTGAGCTCTGGAAGGGCAGGAACTTTGCTTTGTTCACTGCTCTGCCCTCAGCACCCAGCAAGGTGCCTGTGCACAGTAGGTGCTCAATAATAAATGTGGAATGAACGAATAATCCTCACTGTAACTTTGCTTTATTCATTCTACAATTACGTACTGAGTATACTGTGGTGAATAAGATTTCCTGCCCTGGTGAGTCTTGCATTTTAGCAAATTAAAAAAAAAAACAACTCTCTGCATAGGGCTGCCAGGTGTGGTTGGGCGGTCTGTGTACTGTACAGAGGCACCTGCGCGAGGGGGTGAAACTGCAGGCTGCAAACTCGTCTGGACTCTGCTTACCAAGCTGGGAGTCCTGGTGTGGAGCCTGTCAGTCCAGAGGGGCACCTTTGACAGTGAACACAAAGTCGAGGAGGTGGATAAAGTACTGCCCCCATGTCACAGATCTAAGTGACATTTATAGGTTGTACCCATAAAAGAAGGAATCAAGATGTTAACTAGAATGCTGACTTCTCTGGAGACTCTCTGTGCGGGCCCGGGCAGTGTGCTGGACATGCCCCCAAACCCCGTCTGTTAGGTGGTGAAGCGATGCTCAGAGGAGCGGGGGCACGACGGCTGGCTCCACGTCCGGTGGATTTGAAGTCCGTGCACCTCTAAGCCCTCACCTGTCCCCTCAGGCCTCTCTCCCGACAACTGTCTCCCTTCTCATGTGCACCTTCCCCCCCCCCAGGCCCCTCACATGTCTTCTTTCCGTAGTTCTTAGCATCCCCTCCTTAGACTCACGCGAAGACGAGAGGTGCTGCTGCTGTCTTTCCTCCAGAGTTCTGCTGCACCTGTTCTCGCCCACACCTGTCTCACCTGTAGGATGGGGTTAATCATCCATACCTTGCTTAACCCAGTGTGTACAGGGAGGTGCTTTGCAAATCATCGCGTGCCCTGCAAACTGGAAAGGATTCCTGCTGTGTCCCCATGGAACTGCAAGTTGACCCAATTTCACTTATTCATTTATTCCTTCCCTCCGCCCGCATTCCCCTCATCTTTAACACAGGTCTACCAGGCACCTGGCAGGGGGGACACACACTTCCACCTCTGTGGGATTCAGGCCACATTTCCACCTTGGCCACCATGCTTTTCCCACCACAGCCCAAAGGCTGTCCCCCGGCTTGTTGAGCTTGTGGAAGCTGGGAGGGGGGTGAGTCTGGGATTCTCATGCCAGCCTCGCTGGGGCACTCTGCAAACCCTGCCGGACTCCAACTTGGAAGACCCTGACTCTTCTTTGTCAACCATGAGGTTCTGCGTAAAGACCCATTCCCCACGTGTCAAAGAAAAAAAAAAAAATAAGGCAGGGCCCCCAGGGCTTGGAGTTGCATACACTTTTTAATCAAAAGAAGTCAGCCTCCTAAGTATTGCTTTCACAGGTTTATCGAAATCAAGTATTCACACCACTCACGTTTTCAGAAAAGTACTTCCAGCCGGGGAGCCACACCGCACTCCCCAGCGCGATGTCTCGCCTTTGCCAACTTGATGAAGAATAAGCAGCTTGAAACGAAGAAGTCAAAACCCTACCCTCAGCCCCGACAGCTTCCTCAGCTTCTTTTTCTTCTGAGTCACTCCCTGAAACAGTCCCTGCGTGTCAGACCAGCCTCGGGCTCAACCCAGCCGGGCTTAAGGCTCAACTGGCATCCAACGGAAGTCGCTTTTGTGTGTGTCCGCTGTTTGAAGTGTCCTCTCCGAAGGCTAAGTGGGAGAAGCAGGCGCAGCTGGGGGTGAAGTGCAGGGAGGCAAACTTTGGCTGGGTTCCTGTAAACATCCACCGTGCTTGCCGAGTCACAAGCCAAGGCCGGGCCGTCTGTGGGACGCTGCAGGCAGACGAGGTCTTCGGGTTTCCCTTGCCTTCCCCGCTCTCCGGGGACAGGCACTCAGTCCCAATCTCTCCTTCCACCCTCCTGGGTCCAGACGGGAACCTCTCTGTTGGCACAAAGCTTTGGAGGGGAGCAGGCCTAACGAGAAGGAAAAAGGGGAGTTACCAGCGTGGAAGCCCCGCCTGCCACCAGTTTGACCAGGGACAAGCCACCAGGCCTCGGGAGGCGCAGGGGGAGGCAGAGAAGTCTTCCCCCACCTCCTGAATTCGGTAAACCACTGGAAGCCCCAGATTCAGGCTGGGAATGTTTTTCTACAGTTTTTACTACAAAATCTTTTTAATAAATTTGCCTAATTTCTAAGAGACCCTGGCCTGGAGAACGGTGCAATTTCACACGGGGGAGGAAGGACTGTCCGTGTATTGGGAGGGAGGAGGGGTTGCTGGTGCCCAGGGAAGGAGCGCAGCCTGCGTAGGGGTCACCCGGGGTCCGCTGGCCAACATGAGGCTCCAAGGAAGCTGAGTGAGCGCTGGGTAGTGGGGCAGCTTGGCAGCACCTCCCACCTTGCCCGGAAAATGCTCTGCAGCTTATGGGAAGGCTCTGGCCGTGGCCAAGCTACTCAGCAGCTGCACTCAGCTCCTCCTCCCAGGACCCTTAGTGGGTCCTCAGTCCCCATTCCTTTCTCTCTGTGTCCACCCTGGTGCCGGTGTCTCTGCGTGCCCACCCTCCTCACAGCCCCCACGAGTCCTGCCCCACCCAGTTCTGAGCCTATCTTTGCCAGCTCAGACTATTCCTTCTGCAAACTTCATGGAGCATCACAGAGAACTTGTATGTGAAACATGTAACGTGCATTGTTCAACAGGGCGGTATTTTTTTTTTTAAGAGACAGGGTCTCACTATGTTGCCCAGGCTGGACTTGAACTCCTGGGCTCCATCGGTCCTCCCACTTCAGCCTCCGCATAGTTGGGAGTCTCAGACTAGCTGGGACTACAGGCACATGCCACTGTGCCCAGCTTCTAACAGGGTGTTACTGACATTTGGGTGGATATGGGGGGCTGTTCTGGGCACTGCATCCCTGGCCCCTGACCACTAAATGTCAGTAGCACCCCCGGTCACTATGACAACTAA